GACACCGAGTTCGCGTTGGGTCAGTCCGCGACGCGCTGTGGGCCATCGGCAAGACCCACCAGCTGGCTGTAAAGCCGAACCCAGTGTACCAAGACGGTGCGCATGGCCACTACTGGGTGGCACTCCAAGACATGCTCAAGACTTATCGCCGTGAAGACCCCGCCACCCAGCCACAATTGGCAGTGCCAGTCACCCTGCCAGAGCACCTCCTCAATACCGTCACACCCAACACGGCTCAATCCCACCAGCACCAGGCCATTGCCGACCTCATCAACATTGCCTTCTACTTCCTCCTCCGGGTCAGCGAGTACACCAAACCCAGAACCAAGCAGCGCAACACCATCCCCTTTCGGGTCAAAGATGTCACCTTTCGCGATGCCCAAGGACTCGTCATCCCCCTCCACTCCTCTCTGGCAAGACTTTCTCAGGCGAAGGAGGTCACCGTTCGCATCCCACGCCAAAAAACCGGGCGCGAGGGTCAACAGATACATCATGAAGCCATCGGCACTTCCACCTGCCCAATCAAGTCCCTTGCCCGCCGGGTCCACCACATCCTCACTCACAGCCCCGAATCCAAACACAACACCCTCAATCTCGGCATCTTTCACTACAGTCATCCACTGTACCAGAAACTCCGGCAAGTCTCCGCTGATCAAATCAACAACACACTCCGCCAAGCTGCTCAAGACACAGGCCTCTACAAACTCGGGTACGACCACGACGATGTCAGCAGCCACTCCCTGCGAGCTGGCGGCGCAATGGCCATGTACTTGAATGGGGTGCCCATCCCAACCATCAAGAAAATTGGGCGCTGGAGCTCCACAACTTTCATGCACTACATCCATGAACAAATCAGCGCCTTCGCCGCCGGCGTGTCTACCCGAATGTCCAAAGCCATTCCATTCCGGCGCATTCGGGGCCCCACCCTTCACTCGTAATCATATCCGTCCCACACATCACAATGCACTCCCGGCCCATCCAGCTGGCCTCCCACAAACACAAAAGCTCACTCCCCACTTTCTACCTCACGCTGCAGTGCATCCCGCCCCTTCCATGGCACGGACCGGACGGAGCACTACAGCACTCGCAATGGGACACAATGGTATACAACAAGGGTAAACTTTAAATAGTAAGCCCAAGTTAACGCCCATTCTTAGTGTCCCAGAGTAGAGTAGCTTCCGCATTAGCCCATTGTATCAGATCAGATGGAGTTGGCAGCACGGCTGTCGCTATGAATCTGCGAAGCGGATTCATAGTGTACAGCCATGCTAAAAAGGAGAACTGGCAGTCTTGTTTGACTAGTGACTCAAGCTTTGCCGGGTCACAGCAAAAGGCCATTGTCTCCTTTTTCTCCTCCCTTTTATCGCAGCCCACAGAAGAGTTGCCGACAAAAGGAACGACAGAGTCAATACAACAGAATTGACAGACAACTGATACAGTGTACTTGGACTAGCTTACCTTGCTTTCATCCCCAAACCCGCCCTATACAACAAGTATACAACAAGGGTAAACTTTAAATAGTAAGCCCAAGTTAACGCCCATTCTTAGTGTCCCAGAGTAGAGTAGCTTCCGCATTAGCCCATTGTATCAGATCAGATGGAGTTGGCAGCACGGCTGTCGCTATGAATCTGCGAAGCGGATTCATAGCGGTTGTCGGGGCCCCCGTTGAGGGACTCTCGGTTGAGGGAGTACCGGTGCTAGGACTCTCAGTTGAGGGACCAGCGGTGCTGGGTGCTTCAGTTGTGGGACCTGTGGTGCTCGGACTCTGGGTTGTGGGAGCAAGAGTCGTGGGGGACAGGGTGGTGGGGGTGGAGCTGGGCTCGCCAACTGGCACCGTGGGAGACAAGGTGCTGGGGCTGGCTGTGGTCGGACTTAGGCTGGTGGGGCTCACAGTACTTGGCGACAAGGTAGTTGGGACCACGGTGCTTGGGCCCGTGGTGGTAGGGACTCCCGTGCTGGGCGAAAGGGTGGTTGGAATTCCGGTGCTGGGGCTCAATGTACTTGGGCCGACAGTAGTCGGGCTTGATGTACTGGGCGACAAGGTACTGGGCGTTCCTGTGCTGGGGCTCACAGTGGATGGTTCGGAGGTGCTGGGGCTCACAGTGGTTGGGGAGAGTGTGGTGGGAATTCCCGTGCTGGGAGCAGCAGTTGTTGGACCTGCCGTGCTGGGGCCAACAGTCGTGGGGCCTCCCGTGCTCGGGCTTACAGTGTGGGGATCCCTGTGCTCGGCTCGCTGTAGTGGGACAACGGTTGTCGGGGTCCCCGTTGAGGGACTCTCGGTTGAGGGGTACCGGTGCTGGACTCTCAGTTGAGGGACCAGCGGTGCTGGGTGTTCAGTTGTGGGACCTGTGGTGCTCGGACTCTGGGTTTGGGAGCAAGAGTCGTGGGGACAGGGTGGTGGGGGTGGAGCTGGGCTCGCCAACTGGCACCGGGGAGACAGGTGCTGGGGCTGGCTGTGTCGGACTTAGGCTGGTGGGGCTCACAGTACTTGGCGACAAGGTAGTTGGGACCACGGTGCTTGGGCCCGTGGTGGTAGGGACTCCCGTGCTGGGCGAAAGGGTGGTTGGAATTCCGGTGCTGGGGCTCAATGTATTGGGCCGACAGTAGTCGGGCTTGATGTACTGGGCGACAAGGTACTGGGCGTTCCTGTGCTGGGCTCAGTGGTGGTCCGAGGTGCGGGGCTCACAGTGGATGTTCGGAGGTGCTGGGCTCACAGTGGTTGGGAGAGTGTGGTTGGAATTCCCGTGCTGGGAGCAGCAGTTGTTGGACCTGCCGGCTGGGGCCAACAGTCGTGGGCCTCCCGTGCTCGGGCTTACAGTTGTGGGGATCCCTGTGCTCGGGCTCGCTGTAGGGACCAACGGTTGTCGGGGTCCCGTTGAGGGACTCTCGGTTGAGGGAGTACCGGTGCTGGACTCTCAGTTGAGGGACCAGCGGTGCTGGGTGCTTCAGTTGTGGACCTGTGGTGCTCGGACTCTGGGTTGTGGAGCAAGAGTCGTGGGGGACAGGGTGGTGGGGTGGAGCTGGGCTCGCCAACTGGCACCGTGGGAGACAAGGTGCTGGGGCTGGCTGTGGTCGGACTTAGGCTGGTGGGGCTCACAGTACTTGGCGACAAGGTAGTTGGGCTGGCAGTGCTGGGACTTGCCGTGCTTGGGCCGGCGGTTGATGGACTGCCAGTGATTGGGCTGGAAGTACTTGGGGACAGGGTAGTGGGCGTACCGGTGCTGGGGCTGTCCGTACTGGGAACAGCTGTGCTTGGGCTAACCGTGCTCGGCGACAAGGTGCTGGGGTTGTCCGTACTGGGGCCAACAGTGGTCGGGCTGGCAGTGCTGGGTGACAAAGTAGTTGGAGTCATGCTTGGGATGTTGCTTGGGGTTGTGCTGGGTTGGGTACTTGGGGTCCGGCTTGGGCTGACACTTGGGGAAGTAATTGGCCTTTCACTTGGGGATGAAGTGGGTGTTTCTGAGGGGCGGGACGTTGGAAGGGCACTAGGTGTTTTGGTTGGATGTTGGCTGGGTGATTTTGATGGGACTTGGCTGGGTATGACACTAGGACCTTGGCTTGGACCCGTGCTGGGAGATGTGCTTTCAAAGCTTGGTCCAGTACTGGGATGCATGGATGGATTTGCACTTGACACTTCGCTTGGGGCTCCTGAAGGGGACTCGCTGGGATTGGCTGAAGTACCACTAGGACTCGTCATATTGGATGGTGCTTGCGTGGTGCTTCCAGTGGTGGGGATGGCAGTACTTGAATTCTGATTGCTGGACACAATGGATGGATTGTTTGTAGGCTCTCCAATTGTAGGCTCTTCAAGTGTTACATTGGGAGCCAAAGTGGCTGGGCTGGTGGGGATTTCACTAGCAGCACTTGTTGCATTTGATGACACGACTGTTGGGCTTCCAGTGAATGGGCTGGAGGTACTTGAATTCTGAGTGTTGGGACTTGAGGTCAAATTAGAAAGCAGGATGGGGCTGGTAGTTGGGCTGGCAGTTGGCTCACCCACAGTCACATTGGGAGGCACAGTGGCTGGGCCAGTAGCATTGGATGATGTCGTTGTTGGGCTTCTGGGAATGGGACTGCTCGAATTTTGACTGTTGGGACTTGAAGTTGTGTTGGAGACTGTTGCTGGGTCAGTGGGACTCGCACTACTCGAGTTTTGACTGATTGTGTTAGACAGTGTGGTAGGGCTGGCGAAACTGGCGCTGCTGGAATTCTGACTGATGGGACTTGCAGTTGTGTTTGACAGTGCGGTAGGACTGATGGAACCGGAACTGCTCGCATTCTGACTGATTGGACTTGAGGTTGTGTTAGAGAGCATGATAGGGCTGGAGGAACTGACAGTGCTGGAATTCTGACTGATTGGACTTGCAGTTGTATTGGATAGGATGGCAGGACCGGTGGGACTAATGCTGCTGGAATTTTGACCATTGGGACTCGAAGTTGTATTCGACAGTGCAACAGGGCTGGCACTACTTGAATTTTGACTGATGGGACTAGCGGTCATATTGGACAGAGTGGTTGGGCTAGCTGGGCTGTTGGAATTCTGGTTGCCGGGACTAGTAGTTGTGTTCGATGTGGTGCTGTTGCTGCTAGCTGTGTCATCCAATGTCACATTGGGAGCCAAATTTGAAGGATTGTTGGAATTTGAAGTGCTTGGGGCAGTTGGCCCATCACCAGAAGTCATATTCGACGGTGCAGTGGGGGTAGGGCTTGTGGTCACGTCCTCTTCAACTTGGAGTGCAGCTATTCCGTATGGTTCTACTTCATTGTTGAAAGCACTCAAGAAGGAAGCTTTTGTAGTGTCGGTTTCAATCCATCCTTGACCCAAAGTAGAATTCGTTTGCACTTCAAATTGTACTTGTGTGACAACTGAAGCTTGAAGTTTTCTCCTTGCCAATCGTTCTGCTACCCGTGTAGAAAGAAGTGCCGGTGGACAGTGTGTGAAGGCTAATGTGCCATATGCATTTTCAAATGCTGTGGTGAGTTGAGGGTCTGTGACTGGAGTTGTGTCACCATCAAAGTTCACCATTGTCCTTGCAGTTGTTGTTATGTATGTGCATGCACTTCCATCCAATGTGTTGTCAAAGGTTTCATCGGGGGTTGCATCCTGCGTGCCATCTGTGGTGGTATCGATTGTTGTCTCCAATGTGGAATCAGCTGATTCTTCGGGGGTTGCATCGGGGGTTGCATCCGGGGTTGTATCAGGCGTTGCATCTGGAGTCGCATCAAGAGTTGCATCTGCCGTGACATCGGCAGTTGGCTCACTTGTGCGTTGAGGTGTCTGCTCTACAGAATTTCCAGATGATACCACTTGTGTTGGCTCAGGGGTGAATTCCAGCGTAGTCTCAGCAGTTGTCTCGGGAGTTGCCTGTTGAGTGAGCTCCTGGGTACTTTCCTGTGTTACTTCAATCGTAGCAGCTTGAGTCCCCCCAGCAGTGTTTGCAACGGTACCTTCCAATGTGGGTTCAAGAGTAGAAGGCGAGGTCTCCGTAGTAGCTGGTTCAGATGTTCCAGGAGAAAGAGAGGAATCTGGAGCGCCATTAGAATCCTCAGCAGTTTGAGTCTCTGCGATTGATGGTGCAAGTACTCCTGTAGCAGCACCATTCATGGAGGGCATGGGTCCAGCAGGACTCTGACTTGCTCCGGGTGATATTGTTGAGCTGGGAGTCCCAAGTCCACCACCAACAGTTGGGCCACCAGCTGTAATCGCAGATGGTACAGATGGTGCCGGGACACCCGTAGCCAATGAAGGCACGGGTTCACCACTTCCAGCAGACAAGGGACTTAGGCTTGCACCTGGTGCCAGTGCTGCAGGTGCAATTGATGAACTGGGAGTCCCAGCACCACTGGCAACAGATGGAGAACTCGCTGATGGTACTGATGGGCCGATAGCCAATGGACTGTGGCTTGCCCCTGGTGCCAGTGTTCCAGGTGCTAGTGATGAACTGGGAGCCCCTGCAATTGCTGGGGAGCCAACTGTGTTTACAGATGGCACAGATGGTGCAGCAATCCCTGTACTCAACGATGGCACCGTTTCACCAGTTGCCCCGGAAAAAGGACTCGGGCTTGCACCTGGTGCAAGTGCTGCGGGTGAAGCCGATACACTGGGAGCCCCAACAACACCGTCAAGCGTTGGGGCCCCAACAACTGTTGCTGAGGGCACTGAGGGACTAGTCCCACCAGACACAGGACTCTGGGCTGTCTCTGGGCCCATGGCACTTGGTGTAGATGGACCCACTGGTGCCCCGTTCAGGCTCTCAGTCGATGTAGCTTCTTCAAGTCCACCACTGGTGGTTCCAGGAGGCAGCTCACCTGCATCTTCTCTTGCCGCGGAGCTAGCATCATCATCAGTTACAACAACGTCATCAGTGCCACCGCTGAAGGTTGTCTCATCATCCACGTCAGACGCAACATCATCGTCTTTTGTAACATCGTCCACGTTCGATGCATCATCATCGCCATCTATGTACTGCTCAGAATCAGAACCTGCTTCAGAAGTAGATGACATAGTGATGTCATCATCCTGAACAGAAGAGCCACCAGAATCCAATCCACTGCCCCCAGACGAGTCAGAATTGCCACCACTCTGTCCACTACCTTCGGTGTCTGAGCCAGAGGTTCCAAATCCAGAGTCCCCACCACTTCCACCTCCTTCTGACACTGCACCATCATCATTGAAACCTGTTGTAGAATCAAAAGCAGCTGCTGATCCATAGTCTGACGCAGAACTTTCATCACCAATAGTCGTAGAAGCAGATCCCGTACTTTCACTCCCTTGGAATAGACTGGGACTGGCAGTCAACTCTACCGACGGCAAGCTAGATGGTGCACTTGATGGGACATGTGTTGGTTTGGCAGTAGGAGACGATGTTGGTTTGAGTGAGAGTTTCTCTCTTGCCCTCTCCTCTACCTCGTCAGCGCCAACTACAACTGGATCCCCCTCTTCCACAGCTTCGTCTAGCACAGTCATGAGGTCAGGTAACAACTCTTGACACTCAAGCTGCCCCGGGCTGGCAAAACAGTCAGCGAGAGTCTGTGAATCGAACTGATCACTGTTGAGGACTGTCTGGCAAAACTTTGAATTTTGGCCTCCACCTGACGATGCGTTGGCACATTGGGCGACTGACTGTTCAAAAGCCACCAGTTCATTAGAAACAAATGGAGTGCGAATAGTCCCATTACTGGCAATCACATCATCTTGGTAATGCTCAATATCCTCCAAGCCGATGGAACTGACTGAAGCTGTAGAGTTAATGCCGCCATCCAAGGCAGGTTTTGTTGCACCAAATATAACTCTGATGGCATTAGTACCATTCCCTGGAGGAGGCTGCAGGTAGATGACGTTGCCATACTGGTCTCTGATGACGCGACTACTCAAAACAGGTTCGAGGTTGTATCCAAACATGGCTGCAAACAAAGCAAAAAATTGGTCAAGCTCGTAAAGCATCTGGGGCAACTCATCTTCAATATCCTCGCCTGCTAGTTCACGGAGTTCTCGGAGCCTCTTTCTGACCCGTTTATAGAATTCTTTGTCGCGATACTCTGGACTGCAAAGATCAGATAGCCTCAAACGCCTCCTACCTCTTGCTGTCTCATCTCCGATTTCTCCTGGTTCAAAAAGAGGCTCATGATCAGGGCATCCATCACAGGCAACATACGCAGACCAATGTGTAGTAGTAATACTGGCATCAATGACAACTTGTTTCTCCGCCTTTGTTGTTGTGTTGCTTTCGAGAATCAAGTAGTCAGATTCGTTTCCATACACTGTTGTCCAATCTTCAACTACAGCTACGTGCATGACACGTTTGAATGGGTCCAGACACATTCCCTATTATCGTGTCGGATATGATCCCCGTTCTGTTAGCGAGCATGAAAACAACTTTCTCCAAAAACCTAATATATTGACATACCGTGATCGAATTGTAAACATCTGCAAGATGTCCAAGACAAAGAGGGAGTGAGAAGGGAGGAACAAGACAACTTAAGAGCATAGTGTTGCTGGGTATGGTACCCACCGCGAAACAACTGTAGAAGAGCCAAAAGCAAAACAAAGAAAGGACCAGTGGTCAGTTCATATTCAGAGTGTGACCACCAAAAGGTGTCGAAGTTTGGTAGAGCGAGGCAAATACAAACACTTACATATTCCAAGTCAAACTTTCGGTCTGGGAGTGCCGAAGGAGGCATTCCTTGAATCTGCAGCTCTACGAATCCCTCCTTTAGAACCTGTGAGTCTTCACAAATGGGCGGAACAAAATCATCGACAAATGTATTTGTGGGTGTTACCAATACCACAGAAGAGGATACTGCGGCGGCAGTAACAGCAGCCATGCCAATTGCAGTTCCAACTTGAGATACAGTAGCAGTGGCTAAGAGAGTCACAAGGAAAACATGAGGAGATGGAAGCAAACACAGTCTGCGGGTAGAACGAAATGACCACTTTGCGGGACCTACCAGCTGCAGAAGCCATACCAGCAGCGGCAGTTGAGGCCCCTGCTCCTGCTGCTGCACCACTGATGGGTCAAGTAGTAGTCAAAGTGAGGGTTGACTCATTATTTGCTCAACACTTTCAAGGCAAACAACACAGCTTCATCGTTTACCTGGCACTCGCAGATGCAGCCGAGTTGGCAGCAGCGGTGGCCATTTCTGCAACTCCAGGGGGAGGGCCAACAGGCATAGGAACACCACCAGCCATTCCTCCTCCAAATCCACCCCCTCCACCACCACCACCACCTGCTCCGCCGCCGCCTCCACTAAATCCACCGTATTGACTCTGTGCCATTGCATTGAAGGCAGTATCTCCGACTTGATCCATCGCTGCATCGGCAAGTTCTTCGGCCGCATCTTCTAGATCCACCTCGTCATCGCCCTTTAGCTTCTTCATGATTTTGGCAAGACACTTTGTCAAGAATGCCAAGATGGGTGCCAAAATTGGAGCCAAAACAGTACATCCAAGTTTTTCGTAGAACATGTAGAGCAAACTCTCCCGGATAGCTTTCTCCCGGAGTTCCTCTGTATTGAGAGAGGAGCAAGAAGCAGACTCGCTGTTCAAATCCAAGTTGCCTGCATCATCTGGATTGTCTTCGTCCTCCGGATTGTCTTCATCATCTGGATTGTCCTCTTCCTCCGGATTGTCCGCTTCCTCCCAATTGTCCGCATCAGAGTCTTCCTTGCTGCCGTCATCATCGGACGCTTCGTCATCAGCATTATCAGCTGCCTCGTCGGTACCGGCTGCCTCGTCGGGTAACGTGGCATCATCCCCCGAATCGATACGATCTTGCTGACTTTCGCTAGCCCAGGCATTTAACTCGTCTGAGTTTTCGGATACTTCTGCCTCCTCGCAACCAAATCTGACTTTGAACGTTTTTTTCTCCTTGGCAGCCTCGTTAAGAATGTCGGCAACATTTTGCTCTAATTCTTCCATGTTTCCGGCATCACTGGCGGCAGCAATAACTTGTCCCTCTTCGTCAAATTCCTCCTCCTCCTCCTGTTGTTGTACCAGACTGCTGCGTTTTTCACGTTCTACAGCGTTTTCGGTGATTCTTTCGGCTTTCTTGTCCGTCATAAAAATCTGTTGATAGGAGGCTCGTCGATCTTCGGGTGCACCAGGATCCTTTGCTCGAACCTGACCCTCTTCGTCAAATTCTTCCTCCTGCTGCAGCAAACTGCTGCGTTTTTCACGCTCCACAGCGTTTTCGACGATTCTTTTGGCTTTCTTGTCCATCATGAAAATCTTGTGATAGGAGGCTCCTCGATCGTCCGGTACACCATGATCGTTTGCTTGAACCTGACCCTCTTCGTCAATTTCTTCCTCCTGCTGTTGTACCAGACTGCTGCGTTTTTCACGTTCTACAGTGTTTTTAGTGATTCTTTTGCCTTTTTTGTCCGTCATGAAAATCTGGTGATAGGTGGCTCGTCGATCAAAGTCGGGATCATTTGGTTTTGCCGCAGCTTGTGGGATTTCTGTGGCTCCAATTTCTTCATCCTGGCCGTCATCCTGATCATCCTCGTCGCTACCACCACCCAGAAAGGCACCGGTAAAAACGTACTTTGTGCCGCTCAGCCCGCTCATGACACTGCCCATATCGGTAATGGTATCGTCATCGTAGTCATCATCAGTATCGTCGGACGGTCCCGATGAAGTAGTAATGGCGGCTTGTGGGCGTTGTTGTTGTCGTTGTTCTTGTTGTGGGTTCTGATCTTCTGGATCATCATCATCATCGTTCCCCACTGGGGCGAATGCAACTCGACGCTTCATGATAAGGAATGTCTGTCTTGTCTCGTCTCGTCTCGAGTTAATTTAACTCACTCCACTCTTGCTCGACCGCCTGATCGAGTTTTTCGATTCTATTCTCTTGTACTAAAAAATAAGAGAAAATTCAGAGTTGAGTTGTGACACACAAGTCTCGCCAATAAATCAATCGATCAATTAATCGAAGCTTCGATGCCGAGTGGACGGAACTGGAGCGTTATCGAGTCTGCTGGCTCGTCTCAAACAGAATCTCAAAATTACAGTCTCACAATAAAACTTATAGGGTAAGCTCACGCTTTTGTCTTGTTTCGTCGCTAAGGGTATTTCAGCTGTGGTCTGGTCTGGTCTGCTCTGCTCTGTAATGAACTAAACGTCAGTCGGACTAGTTGCTGCGTTGCTTGTTGGTCTCGTCCAACGGTATTTGCTACCAATAGTGGTAGATAGTGCCGACAGACTGATTGGTGTTTCTACGGTGAATCAATCACAGTGAAACTCTCTATCTTTACTGTAGCTATGATAATAGCAATTGAGATATTACTAGTAGTCTAGTGCTCTGCTACGGTATCGCAATAGCACGTCCTTTCGTTCGTGTTGCTGCTGTTGCTAATTAGTAGTGTGTTGCTGTTGCTTTTCTGGCGACAAGTTGCTCAATGCATGGTTGGAGCAGGCAGTTTTCCCTTTGGTGACCTGGCTCCAGGTGCGGAGTATTGATAGCAGAGACGAATGACTGGTCCGTTGCACGGAAGCTTGAGTGAGACGCCATCCACTTGGGCTTCTTTTCTATTCATAGAGCTATTCTTTGGGTGCTGTCGAGGATTCAGTGAGATTCGTAAAGGTTTTGCAAAAAGCGTGAAACAATTTACAAGCTTCGGAATTTGGCTTATTCATGCTTCATGCTCGCTGTACGGTACTGATCAATAAAAAGGCTTTTGTCCTACTGTACTTAGTAATACTCCGTCTTCAGTGTGAACGGACAGAAATTCACTCTCCAGCCAGGCTCATCCGCGACAAAACAGTCGTACTGTATACTCATCGCGACGGTACGGTATACGCGCTACGGTATGCATACATACGTACTTGAGTACAAGTATATTCGCTAGCCAGTCGCTAATAACAACAGTTCCGTAAAAGTATTTAGTTGGTACCAGGTACCGGTACTATCGTGGGACTGTCACAGCACCAGAGTGGACATCTCGCGATTGCACGTCTTTGCTTTCAATTTACCGATACCACGGTACGACTGTATGGTATCGGTACCATACTGTTCTAGTAGTCTACATGTAGTCTAGCGTTTTTGTTGGACCTTCGACAAGCACCGTGCCAAAAAGCTGCGGGATTTTACTGCTGTACTACATCGGAGCTACTCGAGTAGTTCGTACGGTAGGAAATAGTACCTTACTTCGCACACATAATCTATGTCCCTCTTTCCCTCAATCATCCAAATACGAATGCGAACTGCCGATACTCTCTATACCAAATACAGTATAACTCATACAACATGTCGTTTCACGGCAGGGGTTAAAACTAATGAAAATATATCTCTCTCTTTTC